GTGGTTCTGGAAGTACAAATCCTAGAAAGTCTTGCAAGCCATTTGAGTAAAAATTTGGTTTTAACCAATTAACCCTGCGAACTTTGAAAGGTTCTCTGATAATCTCCAAACCGAGAAAACGGAGGATTTTCAGGGGTTACTCAGCATTCCTGATGCTACATAGTCAGTTAGATAACATAAGTGCGCAATTTGCCGCTAATACTTATTGAAGAATTTGAGAAAACGCGGAGGAAAGTAATCCAGCCGCTCTAAGAGCCATCAGCCACACCCGACGAAAACTGTAATTGGTTCTGAGTACTGCTACAGCGGAATCTTGAGTCGCTCTAATTTGGTGGTATTGGATAAATTGCCTTGAATTAATACCATTTTTGTCCCTCATGTTCTACGCGCTGGAGCCAATGTTTACTTTACTAAATCAAGCCACCCCTTAAAGGAGGCTGACAGAAGTTCGGTAATATTTGACATTTTAGAGCTGACATTGAACAGAGCCTACGAGACATGTCTTTTCTTGTTCCAATTAGTGTCTTTATATTTTAGCATTACGCACATTCGTGCAGATAAACTGTTATGGCACGAGAGCCGCAAAGAGCCGCAACAATGCATTTATCGAGTGCAAGTGCAAGTTTAGGACATTTTTTATTGGTTTTCTATCGTGTACTCATTGCGCCTATCTTCTTCTTCTTCTTCTTCTTCTTCTTCTTCTTCTTCTTCTTCTTCTTCTTCGAGACTAGTCCTACCATTATTTTTTACTGCTGCATTGGGTTGCCGACAGCAAGCATGCGTATCCTCCTTATTGGGCAAAGTAACCACTAATAACCGAGATGGGTTCTTCCTCGCAGTCAGACTAACCACTGTAGATCTCTCTTGCTCTGACAAAATAGTCATAGACGTGGTCGGGACAAATGTATTTAGTGGTTCTAGGCTGTAGGATAGCTGGGTAATTAAAGCGATTAATTTTTATCAAAGTGTAACTGCAAATTCTTCAGCCTTCCAGTTTATTTTTATCTGAAACCATGGGTAAGAGCCTAGAGCCCATTCTTCAAGTAGGGAAGACTCCGAGCATGACAGTTCGCCTTTCGATTCCGACCCTGTTTACCTAATGTCAGTCAGCAGGGGCGATGACCTGTGTGTGACCTAGGTTATAGTGCTAGCAGACGCATCTAGCACACTCTTCCCCCCCCCTCCCCCTCCCCCACATGGATTGGCTATCAAAACA